GTTCAGTGCAATTCCTTGAAGTTAGAATCTTATTCATATTTACACTCAAAATACTTAACACAGTTATGATGAGAGCATAGTAATTATCTAATCTGATGTTCTAATTGTAGAAATTAAACGCCTTTGTGCTGTTTATTGATATGGCCGCATTTGTTGCAGGCTTTGTAATATTGACAGAGTACTGAGTACCCATAAAACATTTCGGTCAGTAACGTACTTATAATATTCAAAACTCGTGTTATATATAGCCTAAAGTTCAACGAACTTCGACCATAATTTATAAATTAATTTACTTATAAATATTTTGTTCATTAAAATATTAAAGACATTTTATTTCGAATTGTCCTTGCATAGTTTTTCGTGTCGCGATAGGTTGATATATATTTTATCTATATTATTCTGGATTAGTGTAAGCGAGGTGGTTATTGTATATATTAATTTAATTCTGCTCATATTATTAGAATTTTTTTTTTTTACTTCATATCTATATTAATGTTAAAAAGCTGAAAAGTTTGTCTGATAGGATGTTATAAAACGAGTTCTTTTTTACTTCTCTAATGCTATTTGGGATACACGTTGCCAGGGACACAGAATAATAGCACTATACCCGAGGGAGATTAAAGTTAGAAAAAAATCTTCTTGTAAAACTATTAATGTTTTAAATTACAGTTCGTCGTACTTGCTCTCCTGGTGGCGGCTGCTCAAGGCAGCGCTATCCACGGCCATGGCGCTGATTACACCAGCTTCTCATATGGCGTATCAGATCCTCACACCGGTGATGTCAAGAGCCAACACGAAACTCGTGTCGGTGACAGTGTAGTGGGCCAATACTCGCTCTTGGACTCTGACGGCACAAAGCGTACTGTCGACTATGCTGCTGACGCCCACAATGGTTTCAATGCTATCGTTCGCAAGGATCCCCTGTACGCTCATGCCGCCCCTGTCATCGCCCACGCTGCCCCTGTTGTAGCGGCTCCCGTAGCTCATGCTTACGCCGCTCCAGTCGTCCATGGCCTTGCCGCTCCCCTCGCTCATGGTTACGCCGCCGGCTACGCCGCTCCCCTCGCCCACGGCTACGCTGCTCCTATTGCCACTGGATACTCTCACGGTGCCATTGCTTATGGCCCTCATGGCCTCCATGGTGCTCACGGTGCCGTTGTCTACGGCGCTCATGGCCTTCACGGAGCTCACGGACTCTATGGCGCTCACTACTAAAGAATATACCACCAAATAATTTATTTTTCAAATCTTAGTCATGCTGTGATCTAAATAAAATAGTACAAAGTACTTAACTCAATTGTTTTTTTTTTACTTTTTTCCTGATGACTTATAAAGCTGCGAGCGGTTTTCGTATAAAATAAGAAAAAACCTCTTAAAAGATTTAAAAAAGTTAAAAATACTTTAAGAGCCTAGGAAGCTAAACCCAGAAAGATTATCGAAAGAAAAATCTGTAAAAATTGGAACTATAGTAGCTTCAGTAGACTAATGTTTATACATAGCGTCAACCCAAAAGCGGGCAGTTAAGCCATCGTTCCACAAGGCAAATTTTTCATCCTCATTACCTGGATAGTTGGCGCTTCACTTCTGTGCGCTTTTCGGGACACTTTTTGTCCCGCACAACCAAACTGTGTGACGGGTAATGGTCTGCGGTATTGCCGAACCGATACGACCTTCAAGCCTTCAAGAAAAGAGCGTACTCCTTCTTAAAAGGCCGGCAACACGTTTGTGACTCCTGAGTTGCAGACGTTCATGGGCGGCGATGGTCCCTTTCCATCAGGTGACCCGTCTGCTCGTCTTAACCCCTATAACATAAAAAAAAGTTATTAAAAGTTTACAGAAGACGTTGTAAAGGAAGCATAAGTAAGTAGAGTTACTTTGTACCTCCTACGTCAGTAAAAGTGACGCTAAATTATGTTGAAACTACGTCAGATAAGACAACGTCAGAACTACGCCACTTTGTAAATTACTCAGCCCATGTGCTTATTTTAAATATAATGTAATCACAGAAAGCTAGACATTTTCCAATTCCGTATTCTACTTGCAATGCCGTAAATTAACAACTCTGATCAATCCTAATAATAATAACCAAAAATGTTTAACCAACTCTTTTACAATTATTTTAATCTATTTCACGTTCTGAATTTGGTCTTTTTAGCTCGATTTACGAATTTGTTAGGTCAGTTTGGTTAATTTTGGCAGATACGTGTTATCGGAAATATATGTTATCCTTCATGATATACGACTAAAATTCCTAGAAAAAGGCTTAAATTATCATAAATGGATACGCATCGTGTGAAATAAATTAAATTAAACATAGTTTTTAGGCAATCTATATCATGACTCTTTGTTTGGCAGAAAGACAATATATCGGTAAAACATATGAGCTTAGAATGGTATTTTTTATAAAAAAAAACATTCCAAGCTAAATTCGTATAATGTATCTATAGGTTCTCTATAACTCGGATAAGTAAGTTTAATAGGAAATTTACAACAAAGTTGGATCAAGGAGGTCTACTAAGGCCTTACACAATTCAATAGCAAATTCCAGAGTGTTTTGTACTAGAAGCTTGAAATTATGCAGAGAGGTACTTTATTAACAGGACATATCATCTAAAAGTAGATTTTGTAACCGGACTGGTTTAAAGGAGGTTTAAGGCATTTGTAACTTGTGGAAGATCTTGATTTTTATTACTACTCATAGATACATTCGATTGAGTTATTGTGGCTTAGAATCAACTAGTAAACGTAAGATATTTGTTTACAGAGATGGAGTAAATTTCTTAAAAAAATGTGTTTTCTTTGTTTTTAAACATAAATATAATATAGGTAATATGTAGAGAATGCCAGAAATAAATATTATTAATTAAAATTAAGTAGCAATTAGATCTAATGACTTTTGTGGTAGAGTAACTACATTGACTTTGCGAGAAATTCATTTGTGATTACCTCGCAGATGTTGTTTCCATACAATGCTTTAGAGAAAAATCCTGACTTGTAATGATCCATCTTCTTTTTCTTCTTCGAGACGTATTCACTGGTCACAGCCAGATTTTAGTAGACCCAAGTAACCACAGGCTACTTCTTCTTCTACCTAAGAAGTAGCTTCTTTTTTTTAGCAAATACTGCATATTTAAAAAAATATATTTATGCATATTAAATTTAAATATTTAACCCTAGAATTACTATCTAGAACACATGTTATTCCTACTCAAAGCTGCTGGAGTACCTCATACTAAACTGTCTCTGATTATTTAAATAAAAACACACTTAATGAAAATATATGTTATTATAAATAATTATAAACTAAAATTAGTTTTGGTTTGAACACTTGTACAAAATTTTTATTTGATGCTCTAGGCAAATACTTATTTTACACCTTTGGCATGTTGTCCTTGTTTTTCTGTCACTGGACCTTGGACATCCTCCTTGTGTCGAACGCAAAGGAACAGTGCTTCCAGGATCTTTCGTTTTTCTTTGGGGATACGGCAAAGGATTCTTTTATATCCCACTTGAAAGTTTGCATAAGGTAACGGAACTCCAAATGGTCGAGTATTAGCTCTAAGCCTAACTTTTTTTTAAATGTACGCTGTAACTTTATGTCTTGCTTGTTATTTAGGAAGAAAAAAGAAAAATACGTTTATTAGCCACAAAACACACACAACAAAAAAAAATAAAAATATAGAGGTAAAAGAAAAGAAACACTTTGTCAAACTAAAGAATGGCTCAAACATTAACAAAACAAACAATTACAAGAGAATAAAATTATCACTGTGTGTGACTAAAGGGCCACAACTTAGCCTTTGCTATGGTGCTTAAAGTGGCCACAGCGCTGATTTTCAGCTGAAGCCCAAAGATATCTCACGGACGTGTGCACAGTATAATTACTATAAACATACATGTAATAATTACATAGATACGTTAATTACATAACATACATCCTGTTAATAAATAAAGACGTCAAATAACTAGTTTATTTCAAATTGATAGATCTGAGCGCAGAGAACAAAATACATATATATAAATATATATAATGATATATATATCTAACTTGGTGAAGCCCATCGTTTTACGTTGGTCCCAGAAGATGCATTTTTATAGCTTCATCACTAATTTATGCACACATATATTTAACATCATCATCATCTTTAAACCGAAGGGCACTTCTCCCAACTTTATTTGGGGTTGATATCTTGAGATACATTACAAACAAGTTTAGATGGTTTCTTTTATGTATCTTCAGACGGGACCAAGGGAAACGATAAATTTGGGATAAGCAAAACAGACAGGATAGAGGAACCTGGGTAAGGGATATTGCCAGTTTCGGACGAGTAAATGGATCCAAGACTACAGAAGCATGAAGACGCCAGGGTCGTGTACCTGTACATCCATAATGTGAGTAAAGAGATCACTGGGGGGGGGGGACATCACCTGATCATATACGTATGAGGAGTAACAGATCCGTCCACCCAATTAACCCCTCCAAGAAACCCTATCGGGCCTTCACCCCACCTGTGTTTGCGGCGGGATGGTAGGTCGAAATCGAACCAACTAAAGCAACATGGTGTGCCACTCAGCGCCTGTAATAGGAGAGATCCGGGAACTGCTATTATAAACAAATCCGAACCCCTCCTAGCATACCTAATTAACCTAGAACAAAACGAATTTTTAATATTTTTTAAACCTAATGCATGTAGATTGCTAATTTGATTGCCTACAAATTATAATGCAAAGTTGTTTATATACCCTGTTTTACATGTCATGGATTATGCCTTTATCTAAAAACGCACAAATAATAAAACCCAGTGGTCAGCATTGTAGTTTCGCATAACTCGTTTACGAAATTGTACTAAAAACCCTACGGCTTCGTGACCTTAGCTGCATGTCTCTTACTTCCTATTATTAGTCCGGCTACGTTTGTAAGGGAACACTATATAAAGAGAATTGGTAACCAAGATTTATCATTCGCAGTTCACTGTGCAACAAACAATTACATAACTAAAATGGCAGCTAAGGTTTGTTTCATTTTTATCTTTGTGAAGTGAAATGGTTTGTGGAAACGTTCAGTGCAATTCCTTGAAGTTAGAATCTTATTCATATTTACACTCAAAATACTTAACACAGTTATGATGAGAGCATAGTAATTATCTAATCTGATGTTCTAATTATCTAAATAAAAAGGCTTTGTGCTGTTTATTGATATGGCAGCATTTGTTGCAGGCTTTGAAATATTAACAGAGTACTGAATACCCATAACATTATTCCGGTCAGTAACGTACTTATAATATTCAAAACTCGTGTTATAGCCTAAAGTTGAACGAACTTCGAAAATAATTTATAAATTCATTTACTTTTTAATATTTATTCATTAAAATATGAAAGACATTATAATTCGAATTGTCCTTGCATAGCTTTTTGAAATATATTTTTATCTATATTGTTCTCGATTAATGTAAGCGATTTAGTCATTTTATATATTTATTTAACTCATCAAAAATTATATGTCTGTTTGGTTGATGGTGCTAATCTTAGGAACTACTAATTCGAATCTTATAGTGTTAGTAGCGTATTTTTCGTAGTAGAAGAAATAATACGACTATTAGAAAAAGAGCACTAATGAAAATTTTTGCAAAAACGAGCTTTTTTACTTCTTTAATGCTAGACTTTGCGTGCTTACTTTCATCATCCGATCATCTCGGAATTTGGCATGCACGTTGCCTTCTCTGTATCCCTATACAGAGAAGGATCAGAATAATAGCACTATTATGGTAAAGTAGGCAAGAAAATCTTCTTGTTTAACTATTTATTTTTTAAATTACAGTTCGTCGTACTTGCTCTCCTGGTGGCGGCTGCTCAAGGCAGCGCTATCCACGGCCATGGCGCTGATTACACCAGCTTCTCATATGGCGTATCAGATCCTCACACCGGTGATGTCAAGAGCCAACACGAAACCCGTGTCGGTGACAGTGTAGTGGGCCAATACTCGCTCTTGGACTCTGACGGTACAAAGCGTACTGTCGACTATGCTGCTGACGCCCACAATGGTTTCAATGCTATCGTTCGCAAGGATCCCCTGTACGCTCATGCCGCCCCTGTCATCGCCCACGCTGCCCCTGTTGTAGCCGCTCCCGTAGCTCACGCTTACGCCGCTCCAGTCGTCCATGGCCTTGCCGCTCCCCTCGCTCATGGTTACGCCGCCGGCTACGCCGCTCCCCTCGCCCACAGCTACGCTGCTCCTATTGCCACTGGATACTCTCACGGTGCCATTGCTTATGGCGCTCATGGCCTCCATGGTGCTCACGGTGCCGTCGTTTACGGCGCTCATGGCCTTCACGGAGCTCACGGACTCTATGGCGCTCACTACTAAAGAATATACCACCAAATAATTTATTTTACGAAACTTAATCATACTGTGATCTAAATAAAATAGTACAGAGTACTTAACTCAATTGTTTTTTACTTTTTTACTGATGACTTATAAAGCTGCAAATGGTTTTCGTATGAAATACGAAAAAACCTCTTGAAAGATTAAAGAAAGGGAAAAATACTTTAAGAGCCTAGGAAGCTAAACACAGAAATTGCGACGATAGTAGATTCAATAGTTTAATGTTTATAGACAGCGGACAGTTAATAAAAGTTCACAGAAGGCGTTGTTAAGGAAACAGAAGTATGTAGTGTTACTGTGGCCCTTTTACGTCAGTAAAAGTGACATTAAATTATGTTGAAACTACGTCAGATAAGACAACGTCACAGCCATGTCACTTTATATATTACTCAGTCCATGTGCCTAATTATAAATAAAATGTAATGACAGAAAGATAGAGTTTTCCAATTCCGTATTCTACGTGCAATGGCGTAAATTAACAACTATATAATTATTAATTATGTCTACATCAACTCAAAACCTATAGTTATACAGTAAAGTTTAAAAAGAATCACACGGATAAAATCACATAATCACAATTACAGGTGTTTTTTTATTTAGTTTTATTACATTCAGGTACTTACTAATAATTTAATCAGTCAGATGGCTAATATATAATAAAAACATAGATTCTGTTATTGATATATTCAAATCAAAAATTGACAGATTGATATATCTCGCCTGTGCCTACTCCTTCGGGGAGTCTTCTGCCTAATATATTCAGCTGTCTGTTCAACTAATTTAACATATTGGACGGAATACTGGCGTGAAGATTTATAAAGATAGATAGAATTTTGAAAAATCCGTTTAATTTATTCTTAAGGGTGAACTAAACTAAACTTTGAAAATAAACAAAAAAAAGCGATTTCTTCAAATTTCTAGACTTTTCCTTTTTTTTTTTTTTCCGTGCGGAAATCCCCTCGGATACCACCTGTCGGTGGCATGTCGGACTCGAACCGACTAAAACCGCACGCCGTCTCGGGTATTAATAGCCGGGGAACCAGGTATACTCTAGAAAGGAAGTCCCTGGTGAAACCTCCTGAAACCTAATGTAATATAGTTTGTTATAAAGATAAACATAAATTGTATTTTTTTTTTCCTAAAACTTGACTTTTTATAGATATAAGGTAAGTATAATGCATAGAATGTTAGCCAAGAGAACTAAATTAAGAGAATTTTCAAATGAATTGTGCTAGTCATTATCTACAGGAAATTATAAAATGCCCACTACAAATTATTTTAGAAGTGAAATAAAATTCAATGTAATTATGCCTGCTGTCAGCAATATGATAAAAAGAACCAAAATAACCCATCAGCAAACTATGGAGGGTAGAAGCTGAGCTAACCTAGGATAAATTTATATTGATTAAATAATAATTGGACCTAAAAAAAAACATAAACCTCCTTTCTAAGGAGAGGCTTATGTCCAGCAGTGGACTATTAAAGGCTGTTGATGATGATGATGAATAATTGGACACTATGTACTAGTTTAGTTAGTTTTACAAAAAATAAACAAACGTGTAATAACTTTCAGACTCTTCTCTCCGTCTACAACAGCTATGTTCATATCGTGTTTTTCGTTCGCATGCGACCTCTATTTTAAACTTCCCCCTTTGAGATGGCTCTCCTTGCCTCTACACTCCATACAGTGAACTTAAAAAACGTTAGAAGTGAACTTAAAAAATTTAGAAAAAATGTTGACTGATTTACTTTTTATGAAGTAAACAATAATTTAAGAATTAAAAAGAAAATTACAGCTAGTGTACTGTAAAAAATAACATGCACATAAATGTATTTAAAAATCAAAATCTTTAAATAAATTTTATTATCACCACTTTATTTCAAATACTTGCAGTGTTAAATCATTTATAAAGTACCGACTAATTACCGTACTATTGTCGTATGTGCCTACTATTTTTAATACTGGTAATGAATACAATATCGAACTATCAAACTGATCAAAATTAAAACCAAAACTTTTTAAAAATATTTTGGCAACTTATACAGAACTAACAAAACTGAGAATAAATTATAGTTACTAAGGTTAAAAATTGGTAAAAATAGTACTACAGCAGTGATATTTTTGATGTATAAACCTGGATACTTGGTTGCGTCTATGCGATTATGGACGAAGTCATTGTGACAAATAACTTTCGGCGGATATATATCCTAAAGATGGTACGATTGACATCTACCAAGCATGCCAAATAATATGCCTGATATTTTTTTATAAGGCATATTATTTTTGGCGGTTATTGGTTTGAGAATGGTGAATATTTGTACTATTTATTAGAACGAACAAGTACTCCTGATAATACATATAACTTATTTTTACTAATATATGTACTAATAATTTCTTGAATATAACAAATAACGATGTGCAAATAATAAATAATTTAACATTTAATAAAAAAAAAGTTTATATGATATCTATTAGTATTTCAAAACAGTTGTTGACATCATTTTTAATTATTACTTTTAAATTAAATTCAAGGTATTTTTAATTTTTGTTTAATTTTATTTTAATACTTTTATTTTTAAAAACTTTTCAAACTTTTTTTTTAGTTATTAGCGATCCGCCCCGGCTTCGCTCGGGTGCAATGTAGGTACTACTACTGCTACTAATGTGGTGTCAGTGTTTAGTAATTAATTATACCATATTATGATGAGACTATACTACAGGACATCTTTAAATGCAATATTTATAGGTATGCTCTGATCCTTGCAGCCGCTGCCACCCGGGACGGACGTACAGCTCAACGGTCGTGGGGCCCCCGCATTTTAAATCTCTAATATCTTCTAAAATATTCATTTTAATGATATGCTGTAAACAGCAGTTTTAATCTACATTAAATGCACAACGTATCTAAAGTATTTAATTGGGTAAGAAATTACAATGTATTCTTTAAAATAGCTTATCAAATAACCGATGATGTTTTTGTAATATTTAAAAGATAAAAATGGTAACTGTGGGTTATCCTTAGAAGACAGATATATACCATCACGGACTTTTTTGTAGATATTTTTATGATATACAATGCCGTAGTACATTATTTTAGTCTATCTCGTAAGGTTTAGCCAGCGTTTGCAATTTAAACGTACAAAAACATGTTTTTTACGAAAAATCCTTAAAATTCTCGGACATTCTCTACTATAATATATATACATATATATACATATACATATAAATCTTCCTCTTGAAACACTGTCTATTGGTAAAAACCGCATTAAAATCAATTGCTTACTTTACAAGATCTGAGCGTACAACACAAAAAAGCGACTTTATTTTACACTATTTATTGTACAATTACAAAACTTTACCGTTGAAGAATTAGGCAATTACTTAAAAATATTTCGTAGTATTCATAATTTGTCTGCAATTAAAAATATTTTTGCGAATTTGTATGTTTATTTTACATCAGCCAAATTTTTATATGTCATACAGTAAAGCATAGCTTATATTAGGTCCTTACATATGAAATTAGCGTTGTGTCGTACTGAACACTTTGATCTGAAATATCTCCTCTTTGGTTAAGAATTCCAAATTCAAATTTATAAATTCATTTAGCTGGTACATTTGAGTTTTGAAAACAGTCATTCATTTGTTTTTTCTTTATTATTTTTTTCTTTGGCGTCGCTTATTACCGCATAACGGCAAACATGAAATATTGGTATATTTACGAGTACGAGTTCTACCGTGGCACCAGTGCCTCAGAAACAGCTCGAAGGATTAATGACGTGTACGGCGCTGGTGTCGCAAAAGAAAGCACGGTAAGTTTTTGGTTTCAACTTTTTCGTTCTGGAAATTTCGACCTTCAGAACCAACCCCGTGGACGGCCGGAGACCAAAGTGGAAAATGAAGAAATAAAGGCTATTGTGGAAGCGGATCCATCACAAAGCACTTCAGAGATAGCTGCAGGCTTCGGGGTAAGTGACAAAAATGTATCAATCCAATTGAAGCAAATCGGGAAGTAAAAAAACTGGAACGGTGGGTACCTCATGAATTGAGTGTGTGTGTTACTTTGCTCAACCGACACAATAATGAAGGGATTTTAAATCGATTCATTACTTGTCATAAAAAGTGGATACTGTACGATAATCGGAAGCGCTTGTCGCAATGGCTGAACCCAAATCCTGCCCTAAACGAAAATTGACACAGAAAAAGTTACTTGTGAGTGTTTGGTAGACTAGCACCGGTGTCGTTTACTACAGCTTTCTAAAGTCTGGCCAAACGATTATGGCAAATATTTATTGTCAGCAACTGCAAACCATGAAATAAGAACTATCTGCTAAACAACCGAGATTGGTCAATCGCTCTAAGCCACTGCTTCACGACAACGCAAGACCACACACTGCACAATAAACAACCACTAAGTTAGATGAGCTACAATTGAAATGTCTGCGACATCCACCGTACTCCCCGGACTCCAAGAGATTTCAATTTTTTCCGGAATTTGGAAAACTTCTTACAAGGAAAAATATTCAACTCCGATGCGGCAGTCCAAACCGCCTTCAAAGAGTTTATTGATTCTCGCCTCCATGGTTTTTTTAGTAAAGGGATCAATGAACTACTTATGAGAAGGCAAAAGTGCATAGATAAGAACGGTGTACACTTGATTAATTAAATATATTTAAAAAAAAATGACTTTATATTCCAACCACGTACAAAACGCCAATTTCATATGTAAGGACCTAATATCTTAAGCAAGGCAGTTCCATCATTTAATTATTTTTTTTAAACACAATTTTTGTGAATTTTAAATTAACGTTACAATTTTCTTACAAAAAGTTTGTTTATTTATATACTAGTTACATTTTTACGGTTAATTGATTTAACCGTAAAAATGTAACGTCCACATAAAAATGATCAAAAATTATCAATGATCATCGACCATTAAGAAATTTTGAAAGAAACAGGGGAGTACTATTTAGTATTAGGTATACACTAACGCAAGCTGCGTTAGTGTTAAAAAATGTTTTAACGTATTCCATTTACATAACATTGAGAGGCACAGGTTAAAAAAAATTAGGAACAAAACTCACTAGGAATATATCTTGTATCGCGGGTGTTACCACAATTATGCAACAAACACAAAGAATAAACAGGTTCAGAACAAAAATTTGTGGATCGCACAAAATATTGTCCCATGTGGGGATCGAACCCATAACACTCAGCGCTGTAGGAAGCTGCTCGGAGACCGCTTTAAAAATACGCCATTCATTCAATTTTAAAGATCTTAAGTTAGTTTTTGGGCGAAGAATGGGTTCTAGAATATAAAACAAAAAAAAATAACATAATTTGTATTCATTTATAATTTATTTAAATGCAACCTTTTCAGGTATTAAATTCGATTGGATAATATTTATCTCTAAACATTGAAACACCACTTTGGTTGAAAAGCAATTGAAAACCCTCCTCATTTTCCTAACCCAAACTTCTGGCTCAGTTCAATAGGTCTGTAAAAAGTAAATAGTAATTAAGAGGAAAGATTTTTAGAATGTGACCTTAGTGGCTTATTACAATATTTTATTCGGCTTCGTACAGAACGTGAAAGGTATATAAACAGAATCGGTAGCTTTATAAATCATTCGTAGTTTACTGAGCAACGAACAATAATCTAAAAATGGCCGCTAAGGTTTGTTCTATTTACTTATTGTAAAGTGATTGAAATATAAGTACATACATACGTATTTATCTTTTTACAAATACACAAG